CAGAGTGAGTGAAGAGAGAGGAAGAGCAGACAGACACAAGAGACAGGAGACAGAGAGAGAGCAGACAAAGACAAGGGACAGGAGAGAGAGAGAGCAAACAGAGACCAGAGAAAGAGGGGCGAGAGAGCGTTCTCCCTCCTCGTGCCACGTGTCTTTTCCCGCCAACCGCCTCCGCAGAGGAGACGGAAGAAAAACCGGATTAAAGATAAATATTCAGTGGCACAGAGGGGGAAGGAGAGTGGAAGACCCAGGAGGGGGAGGAGGAGAGAGGCAGGAGAGAAGCAGAGGAGAAGAGGAAAGAGAGAGAGAGGAGAGAGAGAGGGAGAATGAGAGGGTTTCTTCAGTAGGACAAGTCAGAGAGAGAGAGAGAGAGAGAGAGAGAGGGAGAGAGAGAAGAGAGACAGACGCTGTCTAGGAGAAAGACCCAGGAACTGAGGGAGAAGAGGGGGGGTAAAAAGAGGTAGAGAGAGGGAGAGGGAGAGAGAGGGAGAGGGAGAGAGGAAGAGAGCGAGAGAGGGAGAGAGGGAGAGAGAATGGTTCACCAACTACGCCGCAAAAATAGGCAGTGAAGAGAAAATGAGAGACACGTGGAGGGCAGGCAGGCCTTGCCGGAAAGAAGTGTCCAGATGCAGTGTCCCGATTCAACGCCTTCATATGGTAGGGTAATAAAAGAAGGCCAGATGAGACATGCATTGTACAGGAGCAGTGGGCAGAAGTGTCCAAAATTGACCAGATGCATTGTACAGGACCAGGGGCAGAATAATTTGCGAGCTTAGCCGCGTGCGCGCGCGAGAGGGAGAGAGAGAGAGGGAGAGAGAGAGACGGAGAGAGAGAGAGAGAGAGAGAGAAAGAGAGAGGTACACGCAAAACACACAGAGAGAGAGAGGGAGGGGAAAGAATTGAGGAAAAGCAAGCACATGGTGAAGACTGAAAATTTGAGGGATTAATCAATGTATTAATTCCTTGATTGACTAGGCTACCAGAGTGGCCCGGGGTCACTTGCCCGGCCGGGCCAAAATAATTTAAAAAATAAAAATAAATAAAATATTTTTGAATTTGATTTTTTATTTTAAATTTGGTGAAGAATTTCGATGTGACCCTGAGGCAAAAGTTGTTCACTTTATTTTTCTGCATAACATAGTTTTTTTTCAGAATTTTTGGATTTCTTTTTTTTTTTTTTTTTTTTGCTGGGACCTTACCTGATCCTTGAACGGGCTGGCCACCCGGGACCCGGGCGGCCCGGCTGGTAGCCTAGTTGATTGATGTATTAATCAATGCATTAATCAATGAATTAATTCCTTGATCGATGTGTTGCTTAATTAGTGGTAGATTCAAAAACGCAGTGAAAGCGAAGGAAGGGGAAGGGAGAAGAGAGGCAGAAGGGAAGCAGAAAGGGGGAATGTCGGAGACAGAAGGGAGGCCGAAAGACTGGGAGAAGACAGGGAGAAGAGAGGGAGAAGGGAGGGAGAATAGAGGGAGAAGTAAAAAAGTGGGTCTCGACTGATGTCGAAGTGATGAAAAGTGGGTAAGGCTCCCAAGATAACCCCGAGTAGAATTGTTAGGGGAAAAAAAAAAGAAAGAAAAAATTGTTAAGGGACCTCACTCAAAAATAATTGAGTGGGTAAGGCTCTCCCTTAAAACAATTGAGTCGAGGTCCCCTAACAATTTTTAGTGGCCTCGACTCAATCAGTTTGCCCAAATTGAATGAATGCATGATGCTTTTGTTGAGGAAATTAAAAAAAAAAAAAAAAAAAAAAGAATTGATCTACTGACTGACCTCTTCCCCCGAAAAATGGAATGAATGCGCCGTCATTGTGACTTTATCGGACCGGTAAGATCGCTTGTACGCATGCATGCATATGACCACGGTGACACAATGCGCGGTCAATTATGACTGTATCGGACCGGTAAGATAGCTTGTATACATGCATATGACCAGGGTGGGGTTCTGTTCGAGGAACGATGGTAATTAACTGGTTGGGTGATGGATTTCTTTTCAATGATTGGTTGGTAAATTTCCATCCCGCTGGTTCAATGGCCAAAAAAAAAGACTAATGAGAAATGGCGGGAAGATTACTATCAAAATCTTTTAAAAAAAATGGCGGGAAAGTTACCAGAGAAAAGCTTCTGGTTCAATACCAAAAGATTGACGAGAAAAAAATTGAGGGAAGCAAAATGGCGGGAAAATTATCAGAGAAAACAAAACAAAAAAAAACAATGGCGGGAAGAAAAATGGCGGGAAATTTATCAGGGAAAACAGAAGAAGAAAAAAAACAATGGCAGGAAGAAAAATGGCGGGAAATCTACCATAGAAAACAATATCAAAAAAATGGCGGGAAGAATCGAGGAACATGCCACGTCACCTCGCATTCTCCTTCCAACAGCGACGGCGGCATTCGTGCTGTCATCACTCTTGCTGTACGCGCTCATCTCCACGTTCCCGCCCATGCTCCTCTTCTTTCGTCCACGTGTCGATTGATTGGGCCGCCACGTGGCAGACCTGAGCTCCGATCGGCGCACCAGCATCGACGATCCCGATCCCGACGAGCATCGACCGGCGAGAAACCGTGGACACGTCAGCGCCAAGGACGAACAGTGAACGTGAGATGGGACAGGAGACCCAGCCGCCGCTATGCATCCGCCACGTGGCAACCAGGCTGACAAAAATGCACCTGAACGCGATCGGCCATCGATGCTCGACGTCGACGTGCAGCTTCCATGTCGAGCCACGTGGCATGGCCCCACGGCCGGCGCCCCTATCGCCTGAGAACAAGCCGACGACATTGCACCTCTCTCTCTCTCTCTCTCTCTCTCTCTCTCTCTCTCTCTCCTCTGCGTATATATTTATATATCAAGTTGGATATCTTGCGACCTATCGTTTGTCAATAGTGCTCGAAAGGAAAGGGACTGCGAGTGGGACACGTCAGCATTGAAGTGGTGACGTGGCAACGAGATCTGGTCACGGACATGTGACCACCAATCAGCCACTCATCAACCGCCGGTGACGTGGCAACGGAATCTCGATCAGAACAAGTAAGTCATCGAGCTGGGTCCTCCGACCCGACCCGTCTAGATGAAGAGCGCGCTTTGACCGAAGACTCCTCTTCCTTGCTATACGGAAAACGACAAAACAAATTTCACTCCCACCCCCCCGCCCAATGCGGGCCAACCAATCAACCAATCAACCACTCAACTAATCCATTACTGAGTTAATCACTGAGCCAATCAAATAATCAACGTGTTACTGAGCCAATCACTTGAAATCGCGCCACCCGCCCCACCGCCGAGACGAACCAGCCGCCAAAGCCGTCCCCAGGCCCGCCGTCGCGCGGAGACGCAAACGTCCAAAATCATCCGCCGCTGTCCCCCCTCCTCGCGCTTGCCGCGAGGCGGCTGTCTACAACGCCGAACTCAAGCGCCGCGCAGCAGGGAAGTGGTCCCACTAACAAAGAGGGTCGGATCGAATGCCCGAATCTGGACGAGTTTATGGAGCTGTGCAGGAAATCGAGATTGAACTGCTTTTCTGCATCTCTGCATAAAACACGTCCAGATTCAGGAGCTCGATCCTCTTTGCTAGTGGGACCATGCTCCAGGGCGCCTACAGGTAGAAGCTGGGCCACCGCGGCAAGGGACCGGAAAAAACAAAAGGCGTAGTTTGGGTCTCGTTCCACACCACGTGAAACTCGAGAGTGATCCAGTGGCCTAACTCAGTTGGTAAGGCTCGCAAGTGGCATTCAGGAGGTCGTGGGTTCAATCCCCATTGGCCTCATGTATCTTCCTGGGCATGCTTGGCGCCCGCCACCTAGAGATAGACCACTGGATCCCCCAATTGGCATTTAGCAGTCTGCTGATGTTCATAGGGGAGGGGACCTGAGGGGAGCACAGGGATTGGTCCTGTTGGCATGGTCCCTGATGCTATCGCCCACCTGCAGGTCGGGAGTAGCCCCCGCATGTTCTCTCGTGAACATGGTTCTGGCCGCTACGGGGTTCCCCGTATGCCTACAATTAGGAGTAGTGGTAGGTAGGTAGTGTGAGGTGAAATTGAGAGAAGAATATAGCTTTTTAAA